AGTCAGAAAAAGGCAGTCAGAGTGAGGACACAGTCCAGTTAGAAAGACAGTTAGAAGGAGACAGTGAGATAGTCAGCAATTGTGGACACAGCTCCAACCCGAGAAAGAGTGGCTCAAGAGAAGACAACTCAAAAACGAGCAAGAACCAGACGAAGTGCAGTGAACACCAGAAACCTCCGCAGTCTTGGCCGTCAAGTCAATGTCACAAGAGAAGACATCTTGTTTATCTGGTATGTTGTGAGTCGCGTAAGTTCGAAATACCCTCGTTAGGTACCCCCCTCGTTGAATAGATAAGAATAGGCAAATTTCCAAAATCGGTTTTTATAACTCTGTTCTAAACTTTTGTTTATGTTAATAAATGTCCTTAAATTGGTTATATCTGACTCTGCATTCTTCCTCCTGAGAGGCTCATTCCTGGACTTCAGAGTGACTCTTACCCTCGCGCCTTAATCATCCATTTCATCACAAACGGTGGTGTGTCCGATAAAACACACCTGGTGGCAGGACTCTATTTAAAAAAGTACGTAATAAACCTTTTACGGCCCCCGAACTCCACAGTAGCTATGCGTCGATTCCGCGCGACACGTCCAAACATGTAAGCCGAACAATAGTGTGGGGAGAGTGAGTAATCAAGGGTTGCGTGGCGCTCAAACAAAAGACGAATCGATGAGATTTGAAAATTGCGTAACTCCGGGTTCGCGTAAGTCGGGGTATGACTGTATTATATTTTTATTCCACTTTAATAAAAACAAGTAAAACAGTGAAGCCATTCTTGGGATGAGACTGTCTCGGAGAGCGTGAGCAACGCATGCACAAATCTTGCACTTGCGCCTGTTTGTAGAAACAGTCTTAGCATTTTGTATTTTATTTTGACCCTGTTATCCATTTCCTGACTACATACAAGTCTGGTTTTTTTATGTGTGCATGATTTGGACACACAAAAATACTCTTTGCCAAATTGCACCTCCTGACATGTACTCCTTCATACCTCGAAGGTGTGCAGCCGTTGACGACAGCTCAATTTTAGAGATGAGACAGTCTTGTCAAATATTGCCAAGCGGTGATTTTGGCACTGTGCAGCCTGACCTTTGATTATTCAGTTACAGTTATCATTATTTTTAGGTAAATATACCTATTTAAGCTTATGGTGTTTTTAAGCTGTTTTTTTTTTCTACTATCGGTTATAACATATGTTTAGTAACACAGTCATTATCATTTATCAATTTATTATCAGTATTAGACAATACTTTAAATATTTAATGCTAATTGTTTTAATCATTATTTACTTGCAGAACAGTAGATTAAATTGCTGACATTTTAATTGCCCTTTTTTTTCAATTAAATTTAAATTGCCCTTTTATTTCAATTATACATTATCTGTTATTAAAGACAGTAAAAATCAGCACACAAACAATGGATGACTTACTTTTAAGTAAGAATAATAATTATAATTAAAAAAATTTCAAGTTTGACATATTCTAATGTATTTTAATTTCAGTCAATGAAACTAGAATATCCACTAATTTTTGTTTTATTTATTTACCCTACTTATCAATAACCAAATGATAACTTTATTAGTATAGACAAGTGATTACAATAAACAGATTCTATTGTAATTACAAAAAAGCAGCAGTCTTTAGTGATAACTGTATAATTGGTAGCTTTTCATTCTGTATCAACTTATCTTGATCTGAATTTATTATATTTAATTTATTTCTATTTATTGTATATATTGGATTATTAATTGACACACTGACTGCCATAATGATAAAAATTTCTGCAGTCTCTGAGGCTGGGCTTTTTTATTCGTTTACTATTTATAGAAATATAATAGGTTAACAACAGTCATATTGAATATAGCAGTTTTTTTTTTAAACAAGATTTTGATATGTGAAGCAAGTATGCCTTACATTGCCTAAATAAGATAATTTTCATGTTGGTGCCATGTGGTGCACATGTGCCTTGCAGTTGTCCACCTCTGAACCTGAATATTCTACTAAAAAGCTTTCATTGTACACTACATATTTGTTCAAGTTTGTGTTGTTAATTCGTATCGGTAACTACAGGCATCTAAAAGCAAGTGAAAAATGTGTGATTGTTAAAATGAACAAACTTGTTTGAAAGCATTGCTGAATGATATTTTGTCAATCAAGAAACTTTTGAAAGTTTGTCTGAAAGTTACAAAGGTGGGCCAACACAAATAATATGTTCACTAGGCTGCCTACTTTAGTTCCACAAAGCATTTCTATTCTAATGTGATGCAATTGTGTGTGACTTGATTTGGAGTAAAATACTAGATGTGAGACATGTGCAATGTAACCTGATCAGTTATGAGCACTGCAAGTCACACATGCTTTACGTGGTGGTCAATGTGTTAATTTGATATCTGATTACTAGAAAGTGATTATGATTTTATTAAAATTTGCTTATTGTAAATAATTTAAGCAAAAGAGAAAAAGTAATGAAATAATTTTCATCATTCAAAAGGAAGTTAAACTGAAATAGAAATTGTCTCTGTTCAGAATAATTTTATCTATAATTGTAATTTGGATATTTTGTTATAGTAGTAACAATAGAATAAGCTGAAGTAGTAAAGTAATTTGATTAAGTTTCTTAAAGTAAAGCTATAATAAAATAATTTATAAAAATACTTCAGAAAGAATATTTATAAATGTTTGAAATCATAAAAATAATATAAATTTCAGGTAAAAGTAAACGTCGTGTCAAAGGTAAAACTCTAGATTTGAACAGTTTTCTTGCAAATGAACAAGATGCTCCTAGTGGATTTGCTGTGGTTAATACCCATTATGACTGGGGAGATGTTATGGAAGATGCACCTGTTGATGGTGAGATAAAAGATTTGTACAATATTTTGTTTTAATGTTTGTTTTACTATCAAAGAAGTTATTTTTATAATATTTTAAATATTTTAAATTTAGATAAATTTACCCTTGATTATAAGAAAGATTCAAGAATATTTTTACCAACTGCACCAAAAGCTGCTCGAGGGCCTGATATTGATATGAGCAGAATTCCTACAAAACCACCATTTACAGCATATGTAGGCAATCTTCCATATGATGTTAATGAAGAAGATATTATTAAATTTTTCCGACAGTTAAAGGTAAGAAACTTATTTAAATTAATTTGGAACTTAGATTATTTGTTTATTATTACAAATATTTCATATTTATTTTCATTTATTATTTACATCATGGGCATCATGATATAGCTTCTTTCAGATGTCCAAATGTTAATAGCAATTGAAAAGATAAAAAGAACAAAATATTCATGACATAAATAAGTATTTAAATCACAGCTCTATACAATGACTGCAGAGGATTGTAAATTTTATGTAATAGTGTTTAGTCTATAGCTATTTTGTTCCTTTATTTCTAAACAGGCGGTGTTCCATATTCTTATTGTAGAAAAGATTATTGAATGTTGTCCCACAGAATGTTTATGGTTTGGAATTATAGTCTCTCTACTTTCTTGAAGGTTTTTTTTATTAAGTTGTTCATATATATTATATAATTGGTAAAAATTATGTTGATATGTCTTTGTTAAACAATATTTTACCATGACTAAAATATTTTGTTTTACGTTATTTATTTTTGTTATTGTATGTAGATGATACAGAGGTGTGTTTAGCAATGTTGATGCAAGTTCTAATAAAATTATTTTGAGATACTTGGTCTAAGTATAATATAATTACAAGTATTTCTTCATGTTATTATTCCATATCAAATTTTTGGTTCTGTTATGGCTCTGTTTGTAGGATTGTTTCAGTATTTAAATAGGTTTTTCACTTGCTTATTATGCTAATAAATTAACTCTTTTTTTTTTTTTCTTATCTTAATAATATGGAGACTCTAGCCTTTTGGCTTTTTCTCTGAATCACTCCTCTTAGAAATTAGGCAAAGTGGTTGGTGCGGTGAACAAAACACTCCAAGATTTTGATATATTGGTGAGGAGAAGAGTCAATATGAGGCCAGTATATCGGAGTTAAGGTATGGACAATCGTAAGGTCCAAGGTTAAGAGATGGCCTAGCTCTTGGTGGGCCCATCTGTATTGCGGGCAGACAAGCCAATAGTGGATGGAAGTTTCTGGTGGGACAATAACAATAAATCTAATAAATTAGATTTATTGTTATTGTCATTTATTGTTATTATATTATTATTATTATATTATTATATATTATTGTTATTGTTATTAACAATAAATCTAATAAATTAGATTTATTGTTATTGTTGTCTAAAAATGTTGTTTATGTTAATGGCTGAACAATGTAAGTCCCAAATATTTATGAAATCAGTTTTCATTATTTCAATCTTATCTGTAAATAAATAAATATTTTTAACATGTTTCATAGCTTCTTTTTAATGAAAATCACATAGCAAGTTTTACATAGTTGATAGTTAGTTTATTAATTTTTGTTTAAGAGTTTAAAAATGATAGAATGAATAGAAATGGGTGATAGGAAATTTAGATAACTAAAATTTAATTTAATTTTTTTATCTATTTATGTTTACTAAACCATAATTTAATACTTTGTTGTTTGAAAATCTATATTATGATAGAAGTTTGTTGCTAGATTACAGGACTTTTTTGTATTTTTGCAAAATTTGATAAGTTCTATGCAATCTGTACATTGCAAATGTTACTGTATATTTTGTTTTGTATTAGTTTATGTTGCTCTATGCTTCTTCTGATTTGTTTATTTATGCTTTTTACTCAGTCTAAAGATGATACAGTGTATGACTATACTGTTTTTCAATTAGTCTTAGTCATTGATTGAAAAACCTGAAAAAATGTTGATCATATTACTGCTGAGGGGTCTTTAGCACACCTCATGTCCAAACAAATTCTGATTCATGTTGCATAATTGTGTATTATTGGTTACTTCTCAGAGGATAACTAATTAATGGGTATTAAATTAATAAACTTTGACTGTGTTTACAGTAATCTGACACAATTAAATTGTAATTAGGAATTTAAAATTTACAAAAAAAAATGATAAAAATTTGTAAATTTTTAATATTACTGTAATTATGAATATACAAAAAACATTTTTGTTTTATTATTCCTTTCCAATATTCACACCAGTGATAGTCCGAAATAAAATTTTCACATACAGAGGTGAACTTTTCTTTCAAGCTTCACCTCCACAATAGAATGCAAATGGAAACAGCGTCCTCTGGTAATTTTGTCAATATCACAAAATAATACATAAAGTAAAAATTTAAAATTTGGCCAATGATATTTAATTTAAAAAAAATAAAATTATCATGAATATCCAAAGAAAGGAATATGAAAGCAAGAATTTTTTCTTTGTATATTCGTGACATTTTTATATTTAAAAAAAAAATTAAATACTGTTGGCTAAGTTTTAAATTTTTACTTTATGTATTACTGTAATTGATAAGAAATCGATTAAAAAAAACTATAGAACAAATTTCAATTGTTTTAGATATACTTTATTGTTAGATATTGATATAGATATAATTATTGTTAAAAGAACAGAAAAATTATGATTTATAGGTGTATGGATGAAATTATAAAAACATGTTCAAGTTAGCAGAACTAGCACTGCATAATTAGAAAAATAAATTTTTCATTACAGTAAAATAACAGTTTTTAGCATATGTTGAAGTAACTTTAAATTTTATTTAAAAAAATATATTACTGCAGCAAAATATGAAAAGAAAAATGTTTAAATGTAAGCTTTGCTGTCATTAATCAAAACAACAGTATATATAAAAGATTATATAAATAATGTGTATATGTGAAACTAAATTGATCTTAAATTTATTCACTTACTGAAAATATTTGAAAATGGGCAGACTTTTTACAGAAAAATAAAATGGCATAGTTGATGTTGAGCAAGTTATCAGAAAAATTTAAATCTCTAAAAAATAAAATATTTATATACTGCAAGACATCAAAGCTTAATTTCTGATGACTGTAAAACAAAATTTGATAGAAATGGTTGATTTTAAGTACTATCTGTTTTTGTTCCATATTATTTTAAATTAAGTTTTTGGTTGTCTTACTGTTGATTATTATTTTATTTAAAAATTTTTTAAACATATACAGTACATTAAATAGTATATGTATAGTTAATACTGTATTTACAAAGAATTATTATAAATTATAAAAATTACATTGTGTTATGGATCTGGGGATTGGAGATATTTTATATTGTGTAATTTGTTTTTAACTTTAATTTAAACCAAAAACAAAAAAGAAACTCTACCAGGAGCATCTATCACAATAGTTTCATGCAAGACTTGTTGACATTTTAGTGCATGTGCTATTAATGAGAATTTAGGCCTGAATTGTCATTGGAGAAAGAAAGAACCTTTCCCAACTTTGTGATATTACAGGATGTAAACCACCAGATGTCATTTCCTGGTAAAAAAATTTTAAAAATATATAAAAAGGACAACAGTGTGAGGAGGATCAAGAAGTGGGGGCTTTAACTAACCATCAGCCATCTATCACTTGCCAACTGCCAAATAAGATCCTTAGTTGACATCTGCCTTCTGCCTAACCTTTAAGTTGTGATATTTTGATCCATGACCATCTGTTGCCAGTCTGTCTTCTAATGGTAATCAGATGATGATTACAATTAGAAGAAAGACTTAAATGACCTATGTCCATACCTTAATTTGGTGTTAACCAGGTATTATATAAACTTGCTTTCAAAATTAAAAAATTATGTTATTCCACTTCTACAAAAATGATAAATTTTTGTAGAACTGGAGATGGGTCGAAACGAAGGCCATGTTTTTCTTCAGTATGAATCATTTTTGAGAGTTGAAATTTTAATCAGTTTATCCTTGAGTGATGATGAGTCGTCCTAGAAAATTTCATCAAGATCAGACAACTCATTCTAGAGTTATAATGTTGACAAGGAATGCATGAAGTCAAGTGTTAGTCGCTTCCTGCACGCATGTGTCATCTAGTGGTCGGAAAATATGATAAGCATTAAAACGGTAATTTTCAAAGGTAAATGTTATTGCTAACTAGATACACAACAAACATAAAGAATCTTTATAGAATAATAAGTTAAAAAAAGTTTTATTGTCAGAACGAGGTGAAGCTGAGCAACGACTAACAATTGACTTCATGCATCCCTTGTCAACATTATAACTCTAGAATGAGTTGTCTGATCTTGATGAAATTTGCTAGGGTGACTCATCATCACTCAAGGATGAACTGAATAAAATTTCAACTCTCAAAAATGATTCATTTTTGTAGAACTGGAGATAGGGGTCAAAACGAAGGTCACGTTTTTCTTCAGTATTAGAGATCAAAATGAGCTGACTAAGACTACGTCCTACATGGCAGCATCTATTTATTGAGCCTATTTATCCAGAGATGAACTTGATCAGTTCCAAATGGCAGTAGAGCTATATCCAACAAACGAGCAAGTTAAACAAAGACTACTTACAATCAACTGGGTGCCCTGTTGCTTATATAGCCTTTGAAAACACTCCAGATATTGCCCTGCCTTTGTCCAAAGATGACTCAGCTCTTGATCTTTCCAAGTATTTGAATCTCTCAGATAATGCCAGAATCATGCTGAAAGTCAACTTATGGGTGCAAGGAGGTCTCTTGTCAATGGTTCACTAGGAACTATATGCTACATTATATATGCTCCTAATGCTTGCTCTCTAGCTCTTCCTGTTTGTTTTAGTGGAATTCGATAGCTATCAGGGACCTTTCATCTATGGCAGGGCTTCTTAAACTATGGGTTGTGACCCCATTTGGGGTCGCGAGATTTTAATGCAAAATATTGAAAATAATTTGTGAGAGTTTGAAAATGGCACGCTTTGTGTCATAGGTTTCGTGAGTTGCACTTTGTGTCACTTCTGGTGCAGCGAGACAACGATTCAGCAACACTAATTGTAGTGTGAACTAGTGTAGTGTTGTTGCTTTTCAGTGTATTCATTTGTCTCTGTTCCATTGTAACACAAGAGTGAACTGGTCAATGGTAGTACACCATTATTGTTTTTGCAAATTTGTATATATCTTTATTTTATATATATATATATATATATTTTTTTTTTGGTCACGAAAAAATCACAATCATAAATGGGGTTATGAATAAAAAAATTTTAAGAAGCCCTGATCTATGGTAATCTGTTTCCAATAATCCCCATAACACGCTTTTCAAATGGTGGCAGTATATTTTGATCTCATAGGCAATTTCCCCTTACCTTACTCAATAACTATACATA